TCATTAAAAATTAATAAATCACCAGGGGAAGATGGTATTACATCAAATTTTTACCAAATGTATTGGGATGTTATTGAAGACGAATTTACCAAAGTAATTAAACATATCTTTAACCACAATTTACTTTGCGACTCCCAAACGAGAGGTATTTTATCCCTAATTCACAAAGGGGGAGAACGCGAAAATATAAAGAATTGGAGATCTCTGACAATGTTAAATACAGACTATAAAATAATTGCAAAAATACTTGCTGAAAGATCAAAATCTGTCCTGCCAAAACTTATACATCCTGATCAAAAAGGTTTTGTAAAGGGAAGAAATATAAGCGATGCCAATAGAATTATACAAGATATTATTGATTTCGCAGATAATGAAGACTTAAAAGGAGCAATAATTTTTCTTGATCAACAAAAAGCATTTGATAGATTAGAGTGGGAATGGTTAGACTCTACCGTAAAAACTTTAATTTTGGAAATAAATACTGCATCTGGATAAAAATGTTGTTAATAAATGCAAAAACCTGCATTAAAACAAATGGGTTCCTCTCCAAATACTTTACAATATCAAGATCAGCTAGACAAGGGTGTCCTATAGCTCCCTTGCTATATGTATTACAAATAGAAACTTTGGCTTGCGCCATACGCCAAAATCCCAACATTAAAGGTATACATGTTCCTAATAATAATCAGCACATTGAATGCAAAATCAATATGTTTGCTGATGATACCCAGTTGTTCAATAAAGACGAAGAATATATAGAAGAATCCTTTAAAATCTTTGAAATATATGAAAAAGCATCAGGCGCAAAAATAAATTTTGCTAGAACAAAGGGCTTATATATTGGAAAATTAAGGGGTAAAAAACCTAAATACAATAAAATTCAGTGTACCACAATGCATGTTAAAACTTTAGGTGTGAACCACGGATACGATATTGATATTGAAGCTATATGGATGGAAAAAATAGAAAAAATAATCAATTGCCTTCATGTATGGAAAACTAGAAATTTGACATTTAAAGGAAAAACATTAATAATTAAAAATCTTGTAATTCCTATTATTGGTTATGAAATTGAAATGAGAGGCATACCTAATATTTACAGTAAAAAATTAATGACATTATCTGGTCTTATATATGGGATCAGGAAGTAAACAAAGTAGATAGAAATGTTTGTTGCCTTAATAAAGCTGAGGGGGGATTAGACATGATAAATTTATTTACATTTATTAAAAGTAAACAAATTAAAACAATAAACAAAATAATGCACTCTGAACTTGAAAACTGGAATGCTATAGGAAAGCTCTGGCTAAAAAGTAAAGATACTCATCCGAAACAGGAATATTTTATTTGCAATTGCTCTGATCTTATGAACATATCTCTTAATAAACTGCCCACATTTTATAAAAATGCATTATTGGCATAGAGTGAATTTAGATCACACTATCCACCAGAAAGCGAAGATGAAGTTTTGAAATGTCAGATTTTTGGAAATAAAGATATACAATTTCGAGGCAAAAGCCTATATATAGAGACTTTTATTAAATGTGGTCTACAAACTATTGGATATATTTGGGATAATGATACTAAGACTTTTAAGACTAATGCTTACATATTTTCAAAACTACTTGATAAAAGAAGTTGGATTTTTGAATACAGTAAAATAAAAACCGCTATACCTAAAACCTATCTTGACATTCTAGAAGGGAGAAATACTGTAAATAGAATAGATAATGAAATAAATAATTTTTTTGTAATGTGTGATATTTTTTTATTTGTAAGAAAAACAAACAAGTTCATAAATTTTGAAGATATCAAACTCAAAGAAATACAAAGAGTATTAAACAAAAATATCACTCCAAAATCCCAACAAAAATGGGAGAAACTGATGCAAATTGAAATTACATGGAAAAAGATTTGGGGCTCAATTTATGAAGTTAGGTTAAAACAAAAGGTTCAAGAATTTCAATGGAAATGCTTGCATAACATCTTATACACTGAAGAAAAATTAAGCAAAATGGGTTTTTCAAATGGTAATTGTATTTTTCTGTAAATCAAATATTGAGAGCCAGAAACATCTATTTTATGAATGTAAACATGTCAAACCACTTTTATAATTGGTACAAAATATAATGTTAAAAATCTCTGTAGTAAATCCAGTCAAAGTTGATGTATGTATTGTTTTATTGGGATTCGCTGGAGAACCCAAACATGTTCGAATATGTATTAACCTTGATTTATATATACAAGTGTTCAATATGGAAAACAAGAAACAGTATTAAGTATGAAAATAAAAATATTACAAATTCAGCACTCTTGAGTGATTTCAAGAAAAAAATGAAATCAATCTTTCAACTCTTAAGAAATAATAAGAGTAACTTCAACAGAAATTTAAAATTAATATGCTTACAGACTTTGATTAACTGTTACCTGTTTTCCTAAGTACAGATTTAAATAATAATATAATGATGTTTTCATAATTATATATTTACATTCTATTGTCACATTTTCACCAAAACTGATTCCATATTTATATATACTTATATTATTTTATTTATAATATGTATTAGATGTAAAATTATGTGTGACTTTGTATTTAAATAATAAAGCACCCTGCGTGGTGCTGTAGGGATTATTATTATGTATTGTTATAGAGGGAGCTTAGTCAGGGTCCCATCCCTGGCAGCTGCCCAACTTATCAGCTGTTGACTGTTATAGGTCTGGGAAATAAATGATGAGGAAAAAAAATTGTCGCATTAAAAAAAAAGCACCATATATGTATAGAAATTGTGCAAAATCTTCAAAAAGCTGGAAACCTATGATTTTTATTTTTTTTTCTTTCTAAAATGTATTTGTTGATCAAATTCGAATGGGAAAATGCATAGTACATGTTCAAATATGCATTTCCTGAAAAATAAGATTTCCTAATTTTCCCAATGTGATATGATTTCTTTAAAGATGTATACGTAGTTTGAAGAATGAATTAATGTGGAAAAACACACGTTACTCTGAGAATTCACGGATATTTTTGTGAGCATTTTCAATTTGTTCAATGCATGATTTTCAGAATCTGAGGATCGGAGGACCTTAAAAAACATTTGTAATTCGTTCTGTTACACAATGAACCCAGTAATTTGCTCTGGAAGATTGCCAGGTTACAGGTAAAAGAATAGGTAAATGTCTTAACAATAACATTTTTTTTTTCAAATCCCTAAGATATAGTCGACTTTAAACGTATCCGATATGATTAAGAGAAAACACCCATTCTATATCCATATAGGATAATAAACAGTTGGCAGACAGAGTACTCGGGTTGCGATGGTCACCTTGCTCTTTAATAATTATCCATCTATCCTATATCCAAGAGTTGGCCATTTCTGAGAAATTCTGTAACTGAATTTTTTTATGAGATGAAAAACATCATGTTACCTTCTTGTATTAACCAGACTTATTGAAATTTAGTGCGTGTTGATTTTTCTATGTACTGTACTTGAGTGGAGAGTGATTAGGCCCTGGATTAGATTTTCAAGCACCTGCTCGACTTCGACCGAAACAAACTTGTGCCTTGCTGGATGGCTATGTATTTTTTGCCCAATTGGTACTAAAATCTTTATAAAGAATTGTTTTACAAGATCTGAAAAGGAAATTTCTCAGCAGTTTGTTTTAAATGAATTACATCTACTCAAACTTACACATTTTTGGTAAGAATATACAGCAGAATTAAATACTGTAGTGCAACCTCTAAGTAGCGGAGGAGGGGAGGACTACTTCAAACGATAAAAAACCCCACTGAAACCTAATCTGAATTGCCTTATGAAAGTTAGTTTAAATAGTTTGCAAACATTTTGATCAACCTTCAAATTCATGTTTTTTTTCAAATTACATTTTTATTATATTTTTTCCTCTTTTTCGCTAAGATAATTAACATTTGGCTATTAATAGAGATCTTCCACTAAAGAATCTCAAAAAACAAAAAAACAAAAAAACACTGACAAATGAAAAGATACATGGATGCATGGACCTCTTGACACAGAAAAGTTTCAAGTTAAGGATCCAGTATCTTTTGAAGGTTATTTTTATATCTAATATCCTTTATAGACCCAATCGTAAATTGTGTTAAGAATAGAATTATTATACAATTTGTTCAGTAAGAGGAGGATTCGAATTTTACACAATGATTGAACCTTTCTACATTTTATTTGTTTAATTCTAGGTGCCCACATGTAAATTGTATATATGATTGTTTAATATGGCACGCCAAATTCACAAAAATTATAAACCTAGCTTCAAATTTGATAAACTAGGTTTATCACTGTAAACTATAGTTTACAAACCGTAAACTATAGTTAACGATTCGTTAAGTATAGTCTTCATCTGTAAAACTATATTTAACGGTTGTTAACTATAGTTTACGAATGATAATCTAAGTTTATCTCTCTGTAATAAGCGTTAACAATAGATTTTGTTGATAAACATAGATTCACGTTTGTAAACTATAGTTTACAATCGTAAACTATAGTTAAGAGTTGTTAATCATAGTGAAACTATATTTATCAGATCGTTAACTATAGTTAACGGTTTGTAAACTATAGTTTACAAATCGTGAAACTGTATTTATCAGATAATCTATGTTTTGCAATCGCAAATGATTGTTTTCAGTGCTAAGTATAGTTTACGGTTGTGAAACATAGATTATCGCATTAACTATGGTTTACGGTTGTAAACTATAGATTAACGTTGTTAACTATAGTTTACAGTCCGTAAACTATAGTTTACAACCGATAAACCTAGTTTATCGACAGCGAAACTGTTTTGCTAATTTTTGTGAATTTGGCGTGCCATAGTTTAATCTTTATATCACAATTTTCTGTTTATGTTGTATGTTTTCAACGTATATTCTAGTAGATATTTTGTTTTTCAATTTCATGATATTTTTTTTACTTATTCTGTACCTATCTTTTTGTATGCTATAATGCCTACGGAATATCTTCATCTTTTATTACCTAAACATTTGGGCTGTCTTTCTCCCCAATCCCAGTAGGCATACTTTCCATCCTTGCTCCTGACACAGTTTGTGATGTTTGGTCCATCCAATTTAGATCCGATTCTACATGAAAAATAACACTGCGCTCCATATCGATATCCCCAAGGACAATTCACAGACAGGAAATTATTGCCGTAAGGTCGTCTGCAAGTTAACACTGAAAAATAATAGAAAGAAAACCATTTTTTATTATTTATTTCATAAAATTATTTTATTTAATGCTTTGAACTAATGCAGCAAAATAGTTGTTAAATGCAGAATTAATACCTCTCATAGACAGTGCCACGGTACACGGTCTAGCGGTGTTGCCTGTCTTATCTTCAGCTGTATATGTTACATAGTGCGTCCCAGCCTCAATTTTGTCTCGGGGTGAAATGGTACCATTCTTTTTTAAAACAATGCTTTTATCGGCGTTATCGTAGACGTATGGTTCATCCCAGTAAATTTCTCCTATTGTAGAATTTTCATCCGCTATTCCGTAAGCCAAAGGGGTGCAGTTTTTAATTTCTGGCTTTAGAATATCTGAAGCATTGAAATGTCTTATAATTCTTGTTTATAGTTTTGGTTATTATTTAAATCAGGTTGTTTTACTCTTTTGATTTAAAAAAGAAAAAGAATTTATTTATTTTATATCGAAAAGTCTGTGTTGTCTACTTATGTCACAATAACATACGCCAAAACATATAAATCCGCTTGACATTACATTTAGAATATGTATACTTAAAAAAAATATTTAAAGGGGAAATGCATTTCTTTTGGAAAAAGAATATAACAAACAGTAATTATATTCAAAAGGCCCTTGGAACTATAAAATTTAGAAGCAGAGCAAACATCTATCCCTAAAAACATTTGGGATTAGATGCCATGAAGGAGTAAACTTTTCCAGTCTACCGACAAACCTGGTCCTGTATGTGCTCATTGGGTAATAGATAGTTTAGTGTGCAAAAATAGCCTATCCATTTGTTCGGAAAATACGAGTCAACATTTGAGTATATGAAGGATTATTTTTGCGGAAAAAGTTATTTTTTTCTCGAGCTTTAATTCGAATATCAGTCACACGATTCTTTAAGAATATGAAGTGTTAGCGTCGACCCTCACCTTCACATGGTGGAATTATCACTTGCCAGCTTCCACTTTTGTTGCAAAGATTTACCCTTTCTTGTCCCGAAGGAATGTCAAACCCGGGGGGACATATAACTGAACATTCACTTCCGTATCGATTCCCTTTAGTACAGGTGTAATAAGACCCGTTTTTCCTTTGAGGAAGTGATGGACATAGTATCTCTGAAATAAGACATGCAAAGAATAAAATCATAATTTTTTATTGTTATAACAGAAAACTGCATTATTTCTTTAATAAAATCGATAACTAAGAGATAATAACAGGCACGTAGCAACAGGGGGCAGGGGCTGCCCCCTCCCTTCACTTTTTTTCCAACATTACTTATACTATAGGAAATGTTCATTGAAAAGCTAGTCCCCCCCTAGGTTTTTGTGATATATGAAAATGTTGTATAAAAAATTGAGAGAAGTTGGTATTGGAAAAAGTTTGCTTCTGCTTTTGTTTTTTCCCTCTTTTTATTTCTATTTTTTTTTTGCTTGTCAACTTTTTCAGTTAAGGATTTTTATCTCTGGCTGCCCCCTCCCAACTCCACTTTCAAAAACTATGCTACGTGGCTGTACAAAGAAATGAATACAGTATCCTAAGACAAAAAACCTTCACAGGTTGGGAAATGTCCATTCCATGTCCCATTACTCTGGCATTTGATTTGCTTTAAACCATTAAGAACGTAACCATGGTGACAACCAAATTCGCATTTGGTTCCGTATCGTGTGTCGTAATGGTCACAGTGTCTAATCACATCATGCATTTCAGGGAATGAGCATTGGGACACTAAAAAAGATGTTCTGAAGATAAAATTTAGATGAAAATCGGTCTCAACTTATCTTTATCTTACATGTATTCACTGTTTGGGATGTTGACATTTTTTATAATACCTGCTACTGTAATGGTAAAGGAGCACGTTGCCATATTTCCTATATCGTCCCGGGCTGTGTAACTTATTAAAGTCTTGCCCCGGAAGGTGTCCCCTGGTTGCTGGGTCGATATTTCCTTCACTCTATTTACACTAATGAACCGAAAGACAAAGGGTTAGATATTGATGTGTTTCGAACATTATAATGTTGTAAAAGTACTTGTTTTGATGGTGTTATCATTACATGTTTAGAGGAATGCATTTTGATATTTTAGGAATATGGTAAATTATTGATATTATATTACAATATGTTTAGGTCATAAAATCTAGGGGTTATTTTTCATTACGTAAACAACAAAAATTGAATCCTCACCAAAATAACTAATTCCAGAGTTTACGAAGAAAATGTTTTCAATCTTATTTAGGTTTTATTTATCAACATTTTAGAAGGTAAAATTTTTGAAGAAAGAATACTTACATTACAGATCCGCCTCTGGCATCTATTGCCTGTGGCTCTGTCCAGTTAACAGACTTTGTCCGCGTTCCCCCGTCAGCTGTCACAAGTATATCGTTAGGGCAATTGATGAATCTTGGACGAGTTGTGTCAACTTCAAATAGAAAAAAATAGGTCAAAATTGATATATTTATATCCTAAATATAATTAAACTTAAATAAAGTGATGAATATGAAAATTGCACGAAAATTTTTAAAAAGCAAACCTGATTGGGAACAGAACAAACAGTCATCCTAAAAATAAAAAAAAATTGATATAAAAAATATGTGATGTTTATTATGATTTAATATCCACTTTCATAAAATAATTGATAGATTACTCACTTTTCCATGAGCATAAAGATATTGAGAAATGTAGAATCCGCATAAGAATAAATATCGAAGACCCATCATGGATGTCTTAATAACACATTTTAAAGAAGAAATAACTTTTATAGAGAAAAAAACGGAAGATATTTGCCGCAGCTTTTGGTAAAATGCCAATATAATGGCAATATATATGAACGTTTTATTATATCATTGTTGTCCGGCGACATTCTCTCATCAAATACAGGTAAGTCTGTATTAAGTGGAATAGAATATTGAGTAAAACCGATATTATAACCATATAAAAGTAAATAAGATTTTAAGATAAGAAAATTAAATACAAATGCATATTTCATTGCAATTTTGCAATTGTGATAATTACCAAACTTGTAAGAAACATATTTGTAAGTTTAAACTGGTACATTTTACTAATTCATGTAATTTTTACTTAGTCTCCACCCGTGATCTAGTCAAAATTTAGGTTTTCTACATACTAACCTGAAATCCAATCAAACTTGAATAAACAGCAATTTCAACAAATTCGTGTGTTGAGTAATAGATTTCTACGTTACTGTTCAATGAAACATCTAGAGATAACGAACATTAATTTTTGCTGGAATTAGTTTGCAAACATTTTGATCAACCTCTGCTCTATAATAAAAATAAGCAGATAAGTATATTCTCCTAATTTATATTTTAGGACTCGACATGTTCTATTTTAATACAGTGAAATCAGTAGTAAAAACCAACTGTTGTAACTCATTGAACTGCATGATATTTTGCATCAGAACTTGTTTGTACCCCTCATAATTTAAGATGATTCTGGAGCATACAGCTTTTGTAATTTTTGTAATGGTCGTTCTGTCTGTTTACCCTCTTGACTGTTAGCCAAAAACCATCACTTTATCCATACTTTGATTGGGTGAAGTTAAGGGTGAAGCTAAGGTTTTCATATTTTACGTTTTTGTGACAATACCTTTAATTGCGTAACTTAGTTTTTTTAATCGCTTGACCTTAAAGTTTGACTCGGATTTGAAAAAATCAAACCTTTCTCATGAGCTGCTATACGAGGACATCAGTGTTTCACAAATGCCTCTTCTTTTTTGATATCTTTAATGTAACACGTCTTAATACACAAGTAGCAGTTTCGGATGTTAGCTGGATTATATTGTTAGAAAAGAATATAATAAAAATAGAAAAAACAGTTGCTAGGTAGAGATTATCCTTTCAAATATTGGTGGTTAAGGAGATGTATCAGCACATACATATTTTGTACCAGTTCCCTATGAGATTTAACAATCCAATAAATTTTCTGTGGATAAATATTTTTGTGTTTTTATAGAAATTGAAAGTTCCAGAAAACAGGTATGGCTATGCAAACTGCAGTTTTACCACTATTAGCCATCTTTTTCCTGTGTCCTTTAACGGAAATTGAAGCTGGTATGTAATAATTTTTGTGTCTTCTTCTTTTGTCTTTGTTTATGTAAGTCGTGATCTCTATTTTTTTAAAACCAGAACTGTCATCAATTAAAAATTAAATACAAACGCAGGAGAAGATTTTGCATCAGATTATGCAGGCAGGAACCAAATCACTCTCAATAAATTATCACCATTCCCAATGGCATCAACCTCATCACAATCAAAATAATTTTAATAGCTATAAAATCAAAACTGTATTTCAATAGTAAATCTATTATATTGTTGTTTCCGAAAACTACAAAAATGTTGACGATAAAGAACTCGAACATCCTTTTAATATTAATTTCAGAGGACTTATGAGTATAGTTACAGTGATTCTTAGACAAGTGATAAACAATCGCGTGTTGTGAAAAATCCGAGTACAGTTTTATTGAAGAAGTATTTTTATTATCGTGAGGGTTGGATGTAATAAAACTTATGGAGATATCGAACAGTATTCAAGATCAAAAGTCCATAAAACAAAACAAAATAGGAACAGAGCAAATACGGATCTCTAAACATTAGAGGTGGGAGCAGGTGCCAGGAGGAGAGAGCATCCCCAGCCGACCGGTTACATCCGCCGTGTATGCTCCTTGTCATGATCGGAAAGTAACGAGGAAAAAATACCGTCGTCAGTTCAGTATGTAAATAATGGACTAACAAGTACAATGAAAAACGTCAGATAGCATTTGACTCAATGATAAAATAGTTTTGCTGACAAGATCATTGATCGACCATAGAAAACTTACGAAATGATGACTTTAAACGAGACTGCTGATATTCTTGTTTCATCAATTTGTCAATGATTTACCTTTTTTGAAAACTGTACATACGTAAAAACACCTCTTGTGTATCGAATCGACTGAGATATATAAAGTCCGTATGCAGGTGTTGAAGGTATATTGCTGCATAAGTAAGGAAAGTTGACGATAGAAAAGTTAAAGTCATTACGTTTGTAATAGGGCTTGGTTGTTAGATCACCATTAACGTCTTTTTCTAGTAAAATATCCAAATATGAAACAAATGTGTTGGACTCAGTGGTATCTTTTATTTCAAGCTCACGAGCATATATCCTGACGACATAGGAATGTAAATTACCATTTTTAATTGACAATACGTCGTCAATATATCTCAATGTCGAGTTCAAGGCCACAGAAAGTGTTTTTTTTCTTTTACGCGTACGTACAATGTTGGACAAATTCTACTTTATGTGCAACTGGCACCCATGGGAATTCCAATAAATTGTTGCAAGACCTGGTCTCTAAAACCACTTAGATATTGTCAATCAGAAACGCAAAACATCAGCAATCTCGTTTTAAGTCATCATTCGTAAGTTTTATGTTCGATACAATGACCTGGTCAGCAAATACAATTGATCATTGAGTCAAATACTGACTATCAAAAAGAATGGACTTTAATTTTTCGTGGAGAGTGATTGTGTATAATGTTGAAAAGTCATAGGTTTTTAAGCTGTTGATTTTGTTACACTCTTTAAATTGTCAAAAAATTTCTTTTAAGTATACACATATGATTTACACCATACCTTGAATATATTGCTGTAAAGTACTCTTAAAGTTTCTCCTTTACTACTGCTAATATCTTAGTGAGGAGTAAAGAAAGAGGATTGGTTAAACAATATTTACATTTCCAAAGTCTTTGTCCGAGATAGAATTACAAATAGTAAATGTACTTTATTTTCCCATCAATGTATTGGTTCATCAATAATTTTATGCGTAAACGCTGAAGGCGTTTATGCAAATTATCACGCAAGCCAATCGATTGATCGCATCATGAAATTGAAAAATAAAACAGTTATTCCTTAATTAAATGGAACCCACTTTGTTTCCTTGTTTGTATGGATTTTTTTTGTGATAATGAGTACTCAGAAAAATAAGAAAGCTTCAGTATTTTAACTCGGTAAATGTTAAGTCATTATTTCCAAAGAGATATAAAGGAAAGTGTGATATCATGTGAATAACTATAAGTTTAGAAATTTTCTTTTGGTTGTTAGTACAGAAATCGTTTAAAGTAGGATTTTGTAGATGAAATATTGTATTATTTATTGGATTATTAAATCAATTGATTATTCATGGAAAGCCACTGTTTAATAAATTTGTAAAGGTGAAATGCTGATTGATGTTTACTGACTGATAAACGGCAATGGTTTACTTGAGAAACAAAAGAAATATTCAGAGAATATTAATATTTTTCCCATGAAAGTTTTGTAATTATTTTTAATAATAGATTGTGGAGACACTGCAGCCGATATTATCTTTATTTTGGATGCGAGTGGAAGCGTTCAAAGAGCAAATTTCGAGAAAATGAAAGAGTTTTTCAAGGCAATGGTTGATGGATTTCAAATAGGTTATGAAAAGGTCAGAATTGGATCCATAACATACAGTTCTTCTGTTCAAGAAACATTTCAGCTAACGGATTATATTGATGAAGCCAATCTGAAGTCCAGAATTTCAAATATCGTTTACACTGGAGGAGGTACAAACACAGCAGCAGCGATTAAGTATGCTCGAATAACCAGCTTTTCTTCACAGTACAGCAGACCAGATGTTCCAAAAATCGCGGTCATTATAACTGACGGTCAGTCAAACGACAAGTTTGCAACATTGTCGGAAGCCGAACTTTTACGTAATGAAAGCGTTTTCATCTTCTCTGTTGGTGTCGGAAGTGGAACGGACAAATCCGAACTCGAGGGAATGGCATCAAACAAGAGTTATGTATTTGATGTGTCGACTTTTGATGCTTTAGACAGTATGCGGGAAAAACTTTCGGAAACCGCTTGTGAAGGTAAAAGATGTTCTACTTAGCTGCAAGCTTGTTATATTTTTTTTTATCATTTATTTTTTCAAAGCTTTTCTTTCAAAACACTTTTAAATTATTATTCCGCAATAACTATTCCTAATATAAAAAGGTATATAAAACATGTACTTCACTATGCAATAAATTTAGAGAAAAAATGATGGTGTTTTAAAATTGTTTTAAAAGTTATGTCTTGTGGACATCCTGGAACGCTATATAATGGATATCTGAATGGGAGTGAATTTTTCCAAGGAAAAACTGTTAACTATAGCTGCAATGAGGAATATAAACTCATAGGCGATAGCCAGAGGACCTGCTTAAGTAACAAAACCTGGTCTGGAAGCCTTCCAACATGTATATGTAAGTGTTAAATAAAAAGACTGGTATATTGTTAGTTGACTACTGTAGATAACTAAATTCTCTCGACACCTTATTTTTTGGAGAAAGTTATTTACTCTTTCTTTAGTGAGACAACATTTTTACTAATTGAGGATGCTGCTTTTTATGACCCTTGAGAATACTTATATAAGCGAAAATGATATTTTCGCAAGCATACTATCTCGACTAATACGCGAACATAAAGTTCTATCGAATAAAAGGTGATTTGCAGTAATTCCTTCTGGCTTGGTATCAATACCCTTCAGGTTAAATATCCTACTGAAAACTGGAGAGAACAAAGTAAAGTAGCCAAAGTCTTTACAATGTGTACTCAGAGAAACGAAGGGATATTTAGATCTTGATTACTACTTCGAATTTGTTTCAGTCGCTTACTTCTCTTAAGCACATCTCTTGTTTTCAGGGGTCTATATTTTGGCACTTAATAAAAAAAAATGATAAGATACATCAGATCGATCGCAATATATTGTCTTATTTTTCATTGATTAAACGATCTTCTAAATGACAGATTTTTTCACTAATTAATTTTCCTGACAGTTTTCAACACATGCGGGAGTAATCCTTGTCAGAATGGAGCTACATGTACAAATGGAGAGAATAAGTACACCTGTGATTGTCCCAGTGGCTACTCGGGTGTTCATTGTGAAGAAGGTTTGTGCAGATTGTGATAAATGAAGCTAGAGGAAGAGTTACTTTTGTCAAACAGTGCATACAAATAAGATTTAAACGCAAAAATGACGTGAATTTCTCGTTTTTAGCTCACCTGAGCTGAAAGCTCAAGTGAGCTTTTCTGATCACATTTTGTCCGGCGTCCGTCTGTCTGTCTGTAAACTTTTCACATTTTCGACTTCTTCTCAAGAACCGCTGGGCCAGTTTCAACCAAACTTGCCACAAAGTATCCTTGGGTAAAGGGGATTCAAGTTTGTTCAAATGAAGGGCCACGCCTTCATTCAAGGGGAGATAATTGGGAATTAATGAAAATTTGGTGGCATATTTTAAAAATCTTCTTCTCAAGAACCACTGTGCCAGGAAAGATGAAACTTATGGGGAAACATTCTCAGGTAGTGTAGATTCAAGTTTGTAGACCAAAGTTTTACATAGAAATATATTAAAAAAATTCTTTAAAAATCTTCTTCTCAAGAATGACAAAGCCGTAATTCATTATATTGATATGGAAGCATGCTCAGGTAGTGTAGATTCAAGTTTCTTCAAATCATGACCCTCGGGGGTAGGGCGGGGCCAAAATGGCCGACCAAAGTTTTACACAGAAATATATAGGAACATTCTTTAAAAATCTTCTTCTCAAGAATGACAAAGCCATGATTCATCATATATATATGGAAGCATGCTCAGGTAGTGTAGTTTCAAGTTTGTTCAAATCATGACCCCCCGGGGTAGGGCGGGGCCAAGATGACCGACCAAAGTTTTACATAGAAATATATAGGAAAATTCTTTAAACATCTTCTTCTCAAGAACGACAAAGCCATAATTCATCATATTTATATGGAAGCATGCTCAAGTAGTGTAGATTCAAATTTGTTCAAATCATGACCCCCAGGGGTAGGGCGTGGCCAAAATGGCCGACCAAAGTTTTTAAAGATATATATAGGAAAATTCTTTAAAAATCATTTTCTAAAAAATAGCAAATCCATGATTGGTCATGGGACTACTTTTGGATTTAAACTTTACAATAAAAAGCCATTTTCTACTTTTTCCTACCCTTAGTGCTCAGGTGAGCGATGTGGCCCATGGGCCTCTTGTTGTCTAATACAAGTGTTTTGATATATTAGTAAATATTGATAAGAATTTCTCAGGACATTTCTCGGCATTTTTAAAAAAATATATATCGCTTAACAAAGATCCACATATTATTAGAATTTTATCATTATTAAATTCTCATTTTACAAATTGACATAAGGTAAAACCATACAAATTACTAAACAAACGATTTCATAGAATATCGAATTGCTATGCATCTTCCAACTTTATAAAAAGTGAAATTCCACATTCATTTAAGTATCACAATGCAATGATAATCCACTATAATTTTGTTCTATGTCATATCAGATATCCAGCCACCATTAGTCCAGAACTGTCCCGCGGAGATACGACACACGTCCCCATCGCGACATGTAGATGTTTTCTGGAAGGCGCCACACTTCTACGATCCATTTAATAACACAGTTATTGTTACCACAAACTACCCGGATCACGGATCAACCTTTCTCTGGGGAGACTATGTTGCTCGCTATCACGCCTTTAAACCCTCCAACGGTCTCAGAGCAAATTGTACCTTCAACATAACAGTTCGACGTAAGTGTGAATATTGAATCAAGAAAATGTCATGATTTGCTTGCTAGAATTCCACATAATTATGTCAACTTTGCATGTACTGAACAAAGAAATTTAACAGAAAATCTTATTCAAATACAGTCCATATTTCAAAGCAAAAGAAGATGGGGGGGGGGGGGATAAGGCGGGCGAAGTACCTATAGTGCGACAGATAAGAAGTGAAAAAATTAATCTCAATTAAATCCAAATTTTATTTGATATTTCATCTAATATCAAAGTATACATTATGTAAAATCTCACAAAGACTAAAAATATTTGCCTTTGAAAAAGATTATACACACTAATAAAAAAGAACAAAAACGATCATTTTCTCATACTTTAACAATTTTTTTTAATATGGGTGGGTCTTCGCTCCATTTTTTTGAAAGATGATCCTAAAAGTTTGCAATAAAATACATTTTTTGGCTTACAAAAACATGGAGCGAAGACTCACTATACCCTAAAAGTATACTTTTATGACACAACATTCGCATCTTTCTGAGAAATACTTGAAGTCCATTAAGTCGCCGGTCATATCACAAACATGATTTAAATGCCCAAAATTACCATGAGTGATGTAGCATTATAGTCACCCCTACTAATGTGTTCGGAACCCTTTATTTTTCGGTGTTCTGCAAATTATAAAACCCGATGAGTTCAGAGTAGCTCTGGTAGTGGCTCTGGCGAGAGTTAGCGAGACTTCAGCGAGATAGGGTAAATTATTCACGGAAATGTGGCTAGGAAGTGACTAGCACGTGGAGGCATGGTAAACAGAAAAGTTATGTTGCGTTTCAGTTTTCACCACCCTAGAATCAGCTGATAATGTCTGTAGAAATGTACTTCAATCAATCGATCTCTTTTACATTCATTCAAACTTAAATATATAATTATTCTCTATAATACAATTTTCTGCAGTCATGAATTAAAATTTCTTATTGGACAAATATTTTGCATGGGAACCGGGACTATATTTTTTGGCGTCAGATTAGCAAATGTGGCACCAGTATGATTTTAACTGACCAATCAGCTGAATGAGTATTGCATTATGGGTTACTACGAATACTACAGGAATTTCACGCTTGATAAAAAGGAAAATCTTATGGTAAATGAAAGGCATTTTTAAAAATAGTATTTTCATGCTCATAATGACAAACAATTCATTTGTTAAGTAAACGGCGGAAGTCTAGGTTTCTGAAAGTCATACTGCAAAAGCAATTTGCGTCTGTATTAATTCCTTTGTTGTACTATCGGTGAATACAATTGCCAGTGAATTCCCTGGCCAAACACGTGGTCACGAAAGTAAATAAAGTTTTGTCCATTTAAATGCATAAGAGATGCTGCTCTTTTTCCTAGACACAAACCATATATATACTACATTTTATAAAACATTTTTTTCCATTCATCAACATCTTTCATAGTTTCCTATCTTTGTATTTTGTTCATAAGAACATTTTCTTTATTTTGCAGTCCATTAACATGATCGTAGATTGACCTGAACTACGTGTTCGAAGTAAAATGTAAACATGTATTTGGCGTAAACGCTGCGATATCCATTCAACGATTGGTCAGTTGCTCGTAGTAAGATCCCTTGTGCGCATTTATAACAATAGCCATATAAGGCAAACAAAGGTTTGTCAGTGTGGATGATAATGCACACTTTTTACCAGCGAATCGGTCACTAGAGAGCTCTAATTTTCGCCGAAAAGTATAAGATAAATTGTTATTTTAACACCCCCTCCTTTAGCCAACCTTTTTTTCTGTTGAAAATCGTGAAAGTCTTTCAGAAAGGTCTGGAAACATTTATTACAGGACATGTTATCTAAAGAAACACGCTATAGCAATATCATGTTTACTGCCACTTTTATTTATAAAACCGGTTCTACCCTATAACCTTTGAATAGATCAACCTAAACCACGTGTCTTGAATTTAAATCACAATAACATTAGTAGGGGTGATAGTGTTTCACGCGTTAGTCGCAAAGCAGTATGATACTGATATGTCGGATTTTTATTGCTAGGGTTCGAATCCCATGAATACCATATAATATTTTTATAAAAGACAAAAAAAAAAAAAATACGAGATTTTTTTTTCTCTCAGAAAGTTTTTTCTCATATTTTCAAAAATTTCAATAATTAGAAGTTAATTTAAATACTCAGTTCACAAATTGCATATGATTTCTTAAAATCTGACGCTATAGGCATTCTGCCCGCCTTGTTCCCCCATCTTCTTTCATTGGAGTTTTACTTTAAAAACAGGGCTGATTTATCCTTCAAAACTCAACATTTACTTGGTTCGCATTTTGTATGACACGCTTTATACCATTTGTAAGGTCAGTACATTTTTCACATAAATTAACTATTGATTTCTTCGTCGATCTAATCAATGCATACGGATCTTGGCAAATGTAACCGGTCGACATAGGATGCTAACATTTTTAGGCAGGTTATTTCGCCTCTAATTTCTCAAGAGACTCGTGTTTTTGCTCAGTTTGAAATTATTTTTTTTGTTAATTTGATATTTTAATCCCTATCAGGTATTTTCTTACTGTACAATTTAGCTAACCCATGCCCAAACGTAACTATTCCGAGAAATGGTGCTCTCGTTTGCAATGGATGGAAAAGAGAATTCACTCAGTTCTGTGTCATTTTCTGTCAAACTGGTACTATACTCACTTCTGGTCATGACTTCCGCACGAGATACATTTGTGGCGGAAGTGGACAATGGCTGCCGACAGGAAACCTTCCTTCTTGTGAATGTAAGAAAAGATTTGTACAAGTTTTGTGTTCATTATTTATTAAAGAAAATAGTGTATATGCACATTCACGTATAAAGAATAAATTTTGAGATGATCGAATGTATTTTTTCTTAAAAATAAATGGCATAAAATCTGTATAAATATTAATAATAAAAAGTGTAGAAAAGTAAGAAAAAAAGTGTAAAAAAGTTTTTTAGGAACATCAATTATGTTCATCGACAATGTAGCAAAAACTGTGATATTTTTATGTGAGCAATCATAATACTGGTAAATAAAAGTTCGATTCTGAAAAATTGATTTAAAGAAATCAATATGTGCGGAACAAGAAATTTTCAAAAAAAATTCTTATGAAAATCACATATTTAAAATAAACTTTTTAGAAGAAATCATATGTTAATACGTTAAATAATAGTTTTAACCACATATATTTTAATTAGTCATTCAAGGTTTTTAAATTAATTTTTACAGTATCCCAAGTACTACCATCAACAAATGATAGACCATACTACTTCAAAAATTGTGACCGAAACGACAAAGTCAGAATGAAGAAAGGGTACCATTGGATTCTGAAGAACTCAAATTTTAAATTTCTCTGCAACAATTATGGTGACCTTTGTAAAATGGAAAATGTTGATGTTCAGTGCTGATGAATTTCTAATTATTTGCATTTGAAAAAATCATGTAATATTTCTATAATTTCGGTATAATTTGATTCGTCATTTGAAAGGATCACTTCATTATAAATAAGGATCTGACCTATAGGACCGGGCTTGGTTTTTTTCTCTACACAAAGCTTGTCGATTTCCGTACCGATTAATGACATTAGGCTAAATACATATAATAATTTGTTTTTCCTGAATTTTTATTTCAGTTAGTAGAGGCAGGAGGAACCTTTTCATTGATTTTCTGAGTTTGTTATCTCCATATGTACTAACTGATATTTGTCTTTACTTCTCGTGGTTCATAAAGGTAGTGTCTACTGTCTCTGAAATTCTGTTCTTTATGTCTAGGCTATTTATCCGTGGATATAATGAAACATGTCATTAATGTGTACAAATTATATAAGCCTAAATGAAATCCAAGGGAATGCTTTTACTGAAATATGTAGCCAAAATCAATGTGATTTAATTTATATAAGGAATATATACAATTGAAATTCATTGCAGCTCAATGCTACCAAGAATACCTGTATTGAGTAACACAGAGTGAATTATTCTTGTCCTCGAAGAAAGTGAGCTTATACTGAGGTTCGTTCCGCCTGACTGAGAACTGTGCATTGGATTGTTCATTGTTACGATTTGATATCTCTTTAGTGTTTCTTATATATCAAGAATGGGCATGCATAAAGGATAGATAATTGAAGGAAAAATACACAAATCTATATAAAAAATCTAAATAGTCTTTGAAAAGGCGAAATTTAAAAGTTTAAAAGTGTTGTACCAGGTGGATTCGAACCCCCGACATTAAAAAGAAAATATTCATGGTGCAAAAGTCATCGCTTATATCAACTGAGCTAGTCTGACTATATTTATAAGTGGCATAAATTTCAAGCAGGTGATGAAAATCAGGTTTCCTTATTTTTTGTAGGTTTTTTTGTGAATTTCGACCCCAGGGCAGGGGTGCCCCTAAAAAAATCTTATCTTAATTTATTCCTTACATCTTAACCTATCAAAATATCACAATTTTATTTAGGGGCAGGCCTGCCCTGAAGGACTTCAAGGCCAAAATTCATGCAAAAATCAATGCTTTATTGGACAAAATGGTGTTTCGGTCAACTTTGGAGGTTTATTGTAAAGTTGTAAATAATAGATTTGATGTATCAAATACAAATTTGAAAAATTTAGACATATATACGGTAGAAAAAAACAAATAAAGACTGATTTTTAAATGTCGTTTTTTCCGGGAAATTGTTCTCTCCTATAGGTCAATTCTTTTGTTAAAGCGAATACATCCTTAATACTGAAAAAAAAAACATATCTGTCAACAACATAATCATGAAAATGAACTTAACATTTTTTTTATTATTTTATTTTTCTACAAAAACAGCCGTGGAAATATTTGACAAATAAAAATTATTATTATAAACTGAATTATAATGATTAATTTATAGCATATGCATTTTAGCTTTATTAAATTAAAGATATTTTTGAAATCATATACATGTATACTATCGGTTTTCAATTAATAATTGATCTAAAAAAAAACACACACACACATACCTAAAAAAAGCTAAGGATATAAGTTCCAATATATATTTCCAATATTAATTTCAATTTTATAGTTGTTCCAAATCATAATTTACGATTTAGGTAAAATAATCAATATTCACTATTTACGTAAAATAACCATTTCCTCCATTATCTTATATGAAAAACGAGGAGACTAATAATTACTGAGTAAACTTCTAGTTGCAAAATACTTGTGTCTACAAATTTCTCAGGCAGCAGCTTTCCCATCAATAAAACATACAATGATTACACATATCAATAAAGAAACGGCTTACGTTCCTACTTTCACTTTATTTTTTTCACTTATAAACTTGCTCACTCCTCCATGGCACCTGATGTTTTGGAGGTCAGTGTTTGCTCTGTTCCTATTTTGTATTGTTTTGTGGACTTTTGAGCTTGATTACTGTTCGTTATCTCCATATATTTCATGAATATATATGAATATAAAAATAATGTCTTTCGTTGTTTGTTAATAAGCGACTAATGTTCCAGCTATTGCAGAAAAAATGCATAACCTGCCTACGGGGGTTGGTAATTCATTTTGGCAATAGCTTCAACGTTAACTTCCATTCAACAATCAAGGAACGTATTCAATCGTTTGAATATACATTTATACAGGTACACATACTTGTATCTTTTATTAATTTTTTATCAAAAGTTGAACATGATTACATCACGACACATGCATCACAGTGTTTGCTTTCTTTTTTCGTGATTGGGTATATTGCTACGTAAGTAAGAGAATTTATCGACTGAAAAGTTAAAGTCGTCACACTTCTCATATAACTTTGTAGTTATATCCATAAACGTCTTTTTCAAGTAAAATATCCAAATATGAAACAGATATATCAGACTCTGTGGTATCTTTTATTTGAAGCTTCCCTGGATATATCGAGTAGACATATGAATGGGAGTAACTATTGTACTGTTTATTGCTAATGCTATAATAGTTGCTTATACGCCATCAATGAATCAATGAAGGTCACAGCGGTAGTTATGTTCCCCAAACGAAGTTGGGGAACATATTGTTTTTACTCTGTTTCTTATTATTAAGGTCTTCCGTCTTCACGGAAGACCTTATAGTGATTCTACTGTTTCTTATTATTCTTTTTTTTTACCAAAATTTTGTGCAGGCGATTTCTCGAGAACTATTCAGCCGTTTTCAATGAAATTTTCAGGAATAATGCGTCATTATATGAATTTTATATAAAATTCCGATTTTTGAAAAATTCGCGTCCGGTGCCAAGTTATGGACAATTTCCTGATTTTAAAATGCAATTTTGTCGCCCCTTTTTATCGAAAATGACTAAAGATATGAACTGGAGACTTATTGGAGACGATAGTTCGTGACTTTCTGGTTTGCAGAATTACCTTTTCGTGCGTCGTCAATACTTCCGGTCGTTACGAGAAACAAATTTAAAAAATCATATTTTCTACTTTTTTCGTTTTTCAATATTTTTCATTTATTTTTTGTATGTTAATAGAAACCTTTCTTATAATGCTCACTATATAATTTGTTTGAATATTGATAAATCGAAACACTAGATATTAGCATTTAAAAATCTGAAGCGAATCCAAGATGGCGGCTGTCCCTGTCAACTCCGACATTTCGCAATAGGGGTTTACGGAGTCAGCCGAGCGTTTGCTTGAACGAAAGTAACACAAGGAAAAATAAAATGTAAAGGAATACTTGGATTGTCACGTCGAAGTTACGTTGCAATTCTGTGTCAAACTATATGTTCTTCTTAAACGTCATCTATAATTGGATTTGGCTGTTTCTCAAAGTAGGAAAAGAAAAGACTGATTGTAATACCTTCTGATTTGCAACACGTGAAAACAGATCTTAAATCATAGTTATAAGTAATAGTTTTTCTAGAAACAATATCAATGAATATAGTAAATATAGAAATTACAATCTGTTTTTCCAATGCACACTTGTATCACATTAAAATAATAGAAAGGACAAAATAGGATAGCTTTTTTTTAAAAGATCGCTAAATGGAGTTTATATTAACATTCTTGTCTCAAAGATCTGATTCAAGTTATTGAGCATAAATGGTATCCGATTCCTTGACTGTCTTCGGGCGACACATGTTTTTCGGCAAAACATTTCAACCTTTTCATGAAAGCTTAACTATTCGGGATAGTTCACTTAGGGGATAAACAGGAAATTTTAAGAAAGTTAAATTCAATAACTGTTTCATTGCTTTAGTGTTACTTGCTTATATACAATATGAAATTTGTAAAATGTGTTAAATATACTTTCTTCACCTTGATATTTAAGCTATAAGAACGTTCTTTTTTTCTTTCCATTGAAGCTATCACATCTATTTAATGGAACATTCTAAAGAACAGGGGCGAAGATTTACTCGTGGCATTTGACGCAAAATTACGAATAGTGATTCGCCTTTCATTAAGTATTCTAAGACAGATGTTCTGTTGCAGAAATATATTCAAATACATTCAGAGCTGTGGTCCCAAAAGCGTAATAGTAAGCGCATTTGATTTTCACGCTGGCGATTCGGGTATAATCCCCTTTGTTTCCATAAAAAGTTTGATCACTTTTTTCAGCTCGATTTTGCGTTTTTTTTTTTTTAGAATCAGACGGAAGACCTCTCGTTGCTCGCAACGAGTTTCTTTTCTAGTTATTATTATTTTTCTTCTTCTTCCTGGGTACTTTTTTGTCCGGGAGTGATCTTGTAAACTACACATCTGACTTAGGTAAAACCTTTTTAGGGTCAGTAGGCATGTTATGTAGATTTGCGGAACGAAGGTCATTTTGCGCGCACGTGCTTGCAAGAGCGTGCACGTGCAACACGTGAAATGACCGATTTAATTGATATAGGAGTAACTTTTTAAATTTTTGATGAAATGCTTTCAAACTTATAATATAAGAATATTTTAGTAGCACAGACAATATGACATGGTCAAAATAGCAAGATCTCACGCGCATGCACGTGCACTTCGCTCTGATTGGCTGAAACTAAAGTCTCAATATCTTTCTTGTTTTTTGACGAAATCCTTTGAAATTTTGAACATCGCCATGCATTAGGATAGCCTACAACGTGATATATAGCAATTATCATGAAAACACGTGCACGCACGTGTGCTGCTTTCTGATTGGCTGAAAATTTAAATAGCTATAACTCCCTTGGTTTTCAACCAAATAGGATGGGATTTGGAACATAGATAGATATAATGGACTACTACAAGGAAGTATGGTCATCATGCACATGCATACACGCGGGTGTACGTGCGCTGCAATCTGATTGGCTAAAACTTTAAACAGCTATAACTCCCTTGGTTTTCAACCAAACGGGGTGGGATTTAGAACATAGATAGATGTAATGGACTTCTACAAGAAGGTATGGTCACCATGCACATGTATGCTTGTGCGTGCACGTGAAATGAGCAAAATCAAAAATACACTTGAATGAGCGTATTTTTTTAATACTTTTGGATTAAATACTTTAACATTCAGTATATTGAAAT